CTGTTATAAAAAGCCGGAAAAGTCAAAAAGCGTACCATAATTTCTTTTCGGATAACCAGTTAGCCCCGGCGTTTATGCATCAAATTTTTCCCCAGTGAAGAGGACTCAGAGACATGTGCCGGTTGCAGTTACCCTGAAGACCAGCATATGAAGGTAAGGCGTTTTTACGTCACGTTTTATTTTCATTTTAATTTGGAGGTGATAATATTTATCATTTCATTCTTTTTTTGACATGAAATGACAAAATAGCACTTGCTATAGATGGATCGTGTTACTTATTACCCCCCACCCGATACCCTCCTATGGTAACTACTAAAGAACTTCCAATTGAACGATGTCATCGGTTAAAATATACAAATTTCCGTCTTTGTAACGAATTAATCCCCCTTTTTGATTATTGTTTTTAACCTATTATTTTTTTCAATATTCAAAAATCCCCATTATAATCCATTATTAACGATTATAAATCCATTTTTTATTACAACATAATCGCCGATTTTTTTTGTTCATGAAATCCGTAAAAAATTGATTATTTTTTGCAAATATGAAATGTTTACTCTTCTTTTTGCACCGCGTTCTGCAAAATTAAAACCTGAACGAACCTGTTCATCACCACGTGTACCGACTTTCCCCAACTTAAGGCCCCAATACCCCTTCCACGTCCTCCCCTCCATCATACTCCATTCCAACCACCCCCCCCCCCCCATCACACCCCATTCTACATAATTTTTCTAAACTATTCTACAAAGATGTGAGCCTGATAACAATTTATTTGTATTAATGTTAATTTTCCCCACAGAGACCCTAATATGCCACCCCAACTATCAAGCATCATTGCAGACCCCCAACACACACATCCTTCCATCCCAATACCCCCCCCCCCCATCTCTATCCTCATCTCTCCCTTCACGCTTCACGTTTATCCCATCCCCCAGGGGGGTGGCTCCAAAACGGACTTTAACAAAATGGACTTCAAGTAGGTAGAAACTAGAAACAAAGAAATAAAAAATCATAAAAATTTCCATCAAATAATTTTGATAACTGATTACAACGCTTTTTGTTTCGCCAAAAAATTGTGGCGTTTATCTTCATTTTAAAATCATTATCAAACCACAGTAAAGAATTTTCTCTTGTATCAAATGTTGCACTTACTTTATATAGATTGTATACAGATTATACACAGATTATAAACAGATTATATAATTTCTATACAGAGTTTATTCAGAAAATATATACATTATATGTATATTATATACTGATTTCCTTAATGTTTTCCCCTCAACTAATACGAGTATAGAAAAACATGTTAAAAACAAGAAATTAGAAAAAAAAATCAAAACTATTCAAATATTTTGCCGCAAAAACCAATTGTTCTAAGCTTTAATTCTAGTTTTGTATTAGTTTTAAAAATGTTGATGTCAAAAATTGAAATTTGAAAAAGTGTTGTGTAAAAGCATTTTTGTAGTCGCGAAAGACCTTAGGTTGCAAAACCCTCTAAGGGATCTCCTGAATCTTAATTTTTTTGCGGTAAATAAACCCCCTCAATTGGCTTAGCTATTCATAGCTCTGGCAACAGTTTTCCTGAGTTCTTTTTTGTTAACATTTCTGAGCAACATCAATCATTAACTTAAGTTTTTGAGGCGTAAAATAATTTTTCACTGCACTTTTTATTGTTCAGGCGGTAGACGATGCAATTTATTTTGTAAATATTAAATGCAGGTTATCTACAGATTATCTAATGATTATATACAGATCATATAAAATATATATACAAATTTTATTATTTTAGTCGTTTGTTTTTACGCAGTTTTGACAAGTGGTTTATACGACTAGGTTTTCTTATAGGCAATGCAGCGTTAAATATTGTACGACCGGCGGGAAAGTGTTTGTTTTTACGCTTCTATCTCTTACTACATGATAAAAACTTCGCATCCAAAAAATTCGAGAAATAAACTTTGCTGCATTTAGTTTTCCTCGTATGAAATAGCAAATGGTTAATTTAAAAAAAGACTGATAATTAATACTCAGGTAAAAAACTAAAAAAAAAATTTTAAAAAAAACAAATCGAATTGTAAAGAAAAATAATAGCTATGCGGAAGGATATGGGCATTTCCATCGTTTCATAAGAGTTTTTAATCACGAGTCACATATCATGCAAAAGCTAAGTTTTACTACTCACTTAACTTTGAAAACTATAGATATCAAAAAAAACACACCATAAAATTTGTATTGGGAAAAGAAAAGTGTAACAGGGTCATGAATTTACTACTTGACAAAACTTCCTTCAAAAAATCTAGTTATAAATCTGACTGGTACCGGACATCCAGAGGTAGGAACCTCAGGGCCAATTGCAAAAATTTATATTTAGCACTGAAAAAAATCAATCAAAAGACTTAAATTGGTGGTTTTAGAATGAAATTTTGCTATGTTTGTTTTAGGATCAAAATACTTCTTTAAAAAATTTTCCAGGGTAAAATTCCAGCAAAAAGCCGTGAACTAAGTTCGTCTTTTTTTTTAAAATCTCCCATATTCGAATTGAATTTTTTTTTAATCTCCCATATTCGAATTGAACAGCAAGACTACTTAAAAAATTCTATTGAATCTTCAAAAGTAATTAACAAAAATTAACTCTCTGTGTTAAGCGGCTGAGCATCCGAGAAAAAGTTAACCAAGCTGCATTCGATAAAAACTAAATGATTGCAAGGTTTGCTGCCTCTGATAGGCTTTAACGAATTTCCATATATCAAAGTTTGACATTTCGAGACAGACTCGAAGCCAGGGCTGAATCCTTCAGGGGAACTTTTTGCCCCGAGGAGGTCATCAATGGTCTGGAAGTAGACGTTCCACACATCAATGTCGAATCGCGATATCTGTTTGGTCGAGTAAAAGGTTCAGGGTTGGGAATCGTAAAATTAGGGACTTCAAGCCGAAAATTTTCTCATTATTCATGAAATATGATTAATTTGAAAACATTTTTGAAGAATTTCTCACTTTCATTATCTTTCCTTATTAGTTCTGGCGTTTTAAATAAAAGTTAAGCCTCAAAATGATGTTTAAGAAAGTCGAAAAATCAAGCATGGTTGAAGGCAATTTTCTTGTTTATAGTTTGTGCATTTCCATAACCGGCTGATATTATTAACGGATGCTAATCCTGAGTGACTCATTGTCATGAATAACGCTTTTTATGGACTAAACTTTGACTAAATTTTTGAAAAGCTACTTTGTACAGATGAAAATTAGTGATTTGAGGTGCTTATAAAGTTGAAACTCCGACCCTAAGTCACTTCGGCTTCAAGTCCCGTCGGCTTGTCGTCCTAGACCCTCTGGCTATCTCTCTTTAAGAATGAAGAAGCATAAATTCATCACAATCAGAGCCACATCTCTCAATCTACTACACAACTCTTCCAGTAAAATTTCATCGCTATTTAACTTTTAACAAAATATTTCTCATAATTCATATATAAAATAGAGGCTTCCATAGTTCCAAAAAAGGAATGAGGTTGATTCCATAATCGACATTTTTATGCAACGAATAAAATTAGCGGGATTGTTTCTTCGAATGTTTTTAAGTATGTTTTTTGTAGTGTTGCAACAAATGCTCAAATAAAGAGTTCGAACGTTTGACACGAACATTCGAACGTTCAGTCGAATGTTGAACTTCCCAAAATTTCTGAGCAGCATTTTTTTTCACAAAAAACTGGAACCTTCGCAAAAAAATAATTGAAATAATCAATTTCGAGTCACGTAGTGAACAAATTCCAATTATCGCACATGGTTCACTTCAATCATTTTGAACTGAATTAAATAAAAGCCGATGCGATTTTGATCTTTTTTCAACCAATTACAGAGCAGCATGAGTGAATTGCAAATACTTACACTCACATGACAACTTAGTTCTAGAACAATCTATATTCGAATGATGAAATTAGCATTCGAACGTCAATCTCGCGAATGAACGTTCGAACGTTCGAACTATTGTTGCAACACTAGTTTTTTGATATAAAAATAGCAAACAAATCATTGCTATATCGGATTGGTAAGTTAAGTGTAGAAATTCGGTCGATTCAAGGAAAAATTTAATTAACTAACTTACCAATCCGATATAGCAAGGAGTTTTAAAGGAGACTGCCGATACCCCCACGAGTTTGTTTACACTTCAGAAAGAATTTCTAAATTTGCATTGGCACTTTTGGTTTTATAGGATTAATTACCGCACATTTCAAAAATTAATTACCGCACTTTAGAAAATACCTCAATTATTCAGCTAAGCTGTGCTAGATCTTTGTTCGAATCATTGTGAAAAAAAACCAGCGAAAAAAATCGATAAGCAACTCAATAAATTTACCATTTTTAATTGACAATGACTTGTCGGTAAGTTGAGTGTACTTGTTTTTGTTAGATTGAGTTTGCAGCACCTAGATGATTTACAAAGTTGTAAAATTTTTAATTATTAGACGAATTGCGCTTTTTAGGTTTTGGCTCCAGTAGAACGGTGGGCCGAAGCGAGTTTGAAATGGAAGGCAGAGTTTCACTTGAAGAACGAAGCATATTCGGACGAAACTCTCAAAATCCGATTAGTGGACGAACCAACAGGGATCGACAAAACAGCCAACTTGATGATAATCGCAAACAGTACCAACCCTGGCATGCCAGTACGAGTTTTGGTGGAAACTTGGAAAACACCGGTTCCAGATTTCATAGTGTCAGTGATCGGAACTGTACACCAAAGCCCAGTTACTCCGGATCAGTTCCAGATATTCAAGCGGGATTTCAATAAAGCGGTGTCTAGCAGTAATGTGTGGGTGATCGGAGGCGGTAGCCTACATGGAGTTGACAAACTTGTAACCGAAAGTCTGAAAGGTGACTTTTCCGAACTGCAATTTAAAAGCCAAAAATAAAAATTTCGTAGAACTTGAGAGAAAGAAGAAACAGCAAAAAAAAAGAAAAAAAAACGTTGATTATCCAGCCTTTAAAATCCATTTTCAAGTTATATTGTTGTAATAATTACAGAAATATAATTCTTAGGCTAGTTTTCAATTGTTTTCATCACTGCTCGGTACGCAAAATGTACGAAATACCAAAAAATCGCCGAGACTCAATTTTTCAGATTTGCAGCTTCAATCGTGGATGGGTGTCAGCTCGAAACAGCTACACGTGATCGGAATAGTGAACTGGGACTGTTTCGAGTCTAATCACGCAGCCAACAGGCTCTACTTTGGATCCGAATATCCCATGGAAAGGTTCAACTCAGAAGCTGTTTTTTCCTACTTTGTGAAGAAACGCAAACCAGATTGGGATGAACCTAACCAAAGACTATCGATGACCTTGAACCCTCTGTTCAGTAATTTCATCGCAGTTCAGGGTGGCGTGAAAGGAAAACTTCATCAGGAATTGCAACTAAGGTGAAGCAAACGTTTAACAGAGTCGAAGTGACTTCGGCTCTTTTTCCTTTCCCCCACCTGCGAAATTTTACATTACAATATTTGTTCACAAGGCCCGATTGTTATGAATAATTGCCATACGGAATACTTAGGCCATGACAAACATATTTGGTCTTCATACTTAATTTTTAAAACCATTTGTTACACCATTAAACTGATGCTCATTTGAGGTGGGGGCGGGGAGGGGGAGGAAAAAGAGCCATGATTTTACCCAAAAAATACACTAGAAACAGCCTCAAGTTTACTTGGAAAACGCCACATATTGTCTCAATAATTCCCGGATAAACGTCCAAAAATTGCCCAAAAATCTCTCCAATCTTGCTTGGAAACAACATGCCACATTCAAACCCCACCCTGAGATTAGATCAATGATAAAGCGGTTTTTGGGTAATTACATTATGATACTAAAGCAATTATTTATGATCGAAATTCAATCAAAATTTGATCAACGAGACAATTAAAATCCGTTTGAACAAAAATGTTTTATATGCTAAATTAATATTTACAGAATTGGAGTCGAGAATATATTAACAAATCCCAATCCTGATTTGTCTCATCACAAGAAATTCAAATCCACTCCGCAGACGTTGCTGGTCCTAGGAGGAGATGTTGGAACCCTAGATCATATCGCCAACTCCCTCGTCAACGGTATCCCTGTTGTACTATGTCAAGGATCCGGAGGAATGGCGGACATCGTAATCGAGGTGCTCCGGATGACAAGAGGAAGGCCCTTTTTAGAACCAGAAGTTTTGAATTTAATTGAACCGCAGGTAAAAAATTCTAAAGGGAGTAACCAAACCACTATTATTTCTCTCAATGCTAAGGGAAAGTCCAGGAATTATTTTTTGTGGATGCTACGGCTAGAGAAAACTTAAGATTTTTTTTCAATTGTGATAGTTTTTACAAAACTTTTCAACTCGTATAGCTAAATTTTTGCTCATAAATCACATTAAACTACAAAAAATACCTGATACTTTTTTAATTGTTAAAAATTTTATATCTAAACCGAATATACTTATATATTACATGCAAAAATAACAATGAATTTAAACTGTGAAATTTTATAAGTTGCTATAGAAAAAAAAGAAACAACTAAAAAGAGCCTGCGGTGACGTAATACAGGATCGCACAGTCTCCTCGGGTATCAAAAGTATGTCGTGATTAAGCGAATCCGAGACATGATCAACAAACCGAGAGGCGAGCGAGACCTCTTCTCGGAAGACTACATGGATGCAGTTACTCACGTGCGAAACATTTCAACTTGTATTCGCCTCTCGGAACTAGTGACGATTTATAGACTGGACAAACCAGCAGTGGGAGAAAAACTGGACCAATGTATTTTCAAGTCGCTTCTGAAAGGGCGAGCTGTGCGTGACTTAGACCATGTGTTCTTGGGGCTAAAATGGCAGAAATGTGATGCAATAATTAAAGACACCCTCTTCTCACAAGGTAAATTAGATTTAAATTTTCTTTTAAGCCCTTTCAAAGAGTGGAAAGAATCTGTGACGTGATTTCACTTCACAAACGGCAAACTGCATCATTTAATCAAATTTAATATAATCAGAAAAAATCTGGGATGATGTAAAACAACTAAATCCCCCCTCCGAGATAGACCAAGCTAAAATCTCCACCCCAGCATTTATTTCGATTTAAGTCGCTAAGTGCTGCTTGTAACACGCTCGATTCTGATTGGCTGGAAACTCCCACTTTGAACCCCATTAACATCCTACCCCAAATTGTTGGAGTGGGGGAGTGGTTGGGAGGGGAGGATGTTAAGTTGGTTCAAACAATTGATAAAAATGATCAAAGAGGTCATCAAAAAAAAAAACAAATTGATCTCAGGATTTACTTTGACTTGAAATTGGCGGTGGCGTCGCTCATGATGGCGGGATTGGATATTGAAAATTTATTTTCAGTTATTTTTAGCCCATCAGAATAGAGTGTTCAAAAACCTGAGAGAAATTGCGAAAAAATCTCAAAAATGCGAATAAATCCAGGCTTTTAAATTTAACATTGACCAATTACAAAATAAGCAGATAAATAAATTTTCACTTTTTGCGAAACCCAAGGCAATTTTTAGAAAAAAAACCCTGAAACCGATTTTTTTTAAAAAAGAAAAACAAAAAACTTTTTTGGATATCTGCTAAAGTTGTACTGAAAATTTTGATGTTTTGCTATATATCATTTTCTGTTAATAATGACTTCGATTTGCGCAAGTTTTTTTTAGCCAATATCGAACAACTCTGATTGATTGAGAGTTTTCTATCATTGAGTCCCTCCATCATAAGAATACCCCCAAATTGATTTACTCGGAAGGTCATCAGTTAGGCCCGATGCCTGTCAAGTCATGTTTTTGTAGATCATTTTTTTCATCATCTCAATTCCATCTGGTTAAACGGGTTGACCTTTGTAGACCGAAAATGTGAATCATACAATTGCTAACACTAAGTATATGAAAAAATACGAATCATAAAAATTTCTAAAACGGTGTCATCGAAATTGTATGACTAGCATTTTTGATGGCAACAAAAGATTTTCCAAGTTATTTTGAAACGGCCCCGAAACGAATTTCGTAATCAAACAAACATTTTCCTAAAAAATTTGCCAAAAAAAATTCAAACATTTTCCTGGATACACAAAAACTGGATTTTTTTCCCGTTTTTCAGGATAGTTTATCTTCAAAAATGCTTAAAACTCCTATTTATTTTGTATGGCATGTTTGTTTATACCTTGATCAATGATCAAATTTTGACTAATGTAAAATTCAAATTTTAAAGAAGAACATCTTTGACTACTATTGCCAACATTTAAAAGTTAGATAATTTCAGTATATCATTTGTGTAAGACAACTGTTAGACGATTCAGGTAGTTTCCAATGCATTGTAATTGCAAGACGGTTTTTGAAAAGCTACTTTTTACAGATGAAAAATAGTGATTTGAGGTGCTTATAAAGTTGAAACTCCGACCCTTAGTCCCTTCGGCTTCAAGTCCCGTCGGCGTGTCGTCCTAGACCCTCTGGCTATCTCTCTTTAAGAATGAAGAAGCATAAATTCATCACAATCAGAGCCACTTCTCTCAATCTACTACACAACTCTTAAAGTAAAACTTCATCGCAATTTAACTTTTAACAAAATATTTCTCATAATTCATATATAAAATAGAGGCTTTCATAGTTACAAAAAAGGAATGAGGTTGATTCCAGAATCGACATTTTTATGCAACGAATAAAATTAGCGAGATGGTTTCTTCGAATGTTTTTAGGTATGTTTTTTGTAGTGTTGCAACAAATGCTGAAATTAAGAGTTCGAACGTTTGACACGAACATTCGAACGTTCAGTCGAATGTTGAACTTCCCAAAATTTCTGAGCAGCACTTTTTTCACAAAAAACTGGATCCTTCGCAAAAAAATGATTGAAATATTCAATTTCGAGTCACGTAGTAAACAAATTCCAATTATCACACATGGTTAGCAGCAGCTATAATTCACTTCAATCATTTTGAACTGAATTAAATAAAAGCCGATGCGATTTTGATCTTTTTTGAACCAATTACAGAGCAGCATGCGTGAATTGCAAATACTCACACTCACATGACAACTTCATTCTGGAACAATCTATATTCGAATGATGAAATTAGCATTCGAACGTCAATCTCGCGAATGAACGTTCGAACATTCGAACTATTGTTGCAACACTAGTTTTTTGATATAAGAATAGCAAACAAGTCATTGCTATATCGGATTGGTAAGTTAAGTGTAGAAATTCGGTCGATTCAAGGAAAAATTTAATTAACTAACTTACCAATCCGATATAGCAAGGAGTTTTAAAGGAGACTGCCGATACCCCCACGAGTTTCTTTACATTTCAGAAAGAATTTCTAAATTTGCATTGGCACTTTTGGTTTTATAGGATTAATTACCGCACATTTCAAAATTTTTTTGGAGAAGGAAAAAATTGTGACGAAATTTTATCCCTTAGTTAATAAAGAATCAGCAAAATCTCAAGATTCGTAAATGGTTTTGGAGAATAGACAACTGCAAACGGTAAAAAAAGTAATACTTTTCTCAGACTTTAGAAAATACCTCAATTATTCAGCTAAGCTGTGCTAGATCTTTGTTCGAATCATTGTGAAAAAAAAAACAGCTACAAAATCGATAGGCAACTCAATAGAATTGCTTATTAACAAATTTACCATTTTTAATTGACAATGACTTGTCGGTAAGTTGAGTGTACTTGTTTTTGTTAGATTAAGTTTGCAGCACCTAGATGATTTACAGAGTTGTAAAATTTTTAATTATTAGACGAATTGCGCTTTTTAGGTTTTGGCTCCATTAGAATATTGGGCCAAAGCGAGTTTGAAATGGAAGGCAGAGTTTCACTTGAAGAACGAAGCATATTCGGACGAAACTCTCAAAATCCGATTAGTGGAAGAACCAACAGGGATCGACAAAACAGCCGACTTGATGATAATTGCTAACAGTACCAACCCTGGCATGCCGGTACGAGTTTTGGTGGAAAATTGGAAAACACCGGTTCCAGATTTCATAGTGTCAGTGATCGGAACTGTACACCAAAGCCCAGTTACTCCGGATCAGTTCCAGATATTCAAGTGGGATTTCAGTAAAGCGGTGTCTAGCAGTAATGTGTGGGTGATCGGAGGCGGTAGCCTGCATGGAGTTGACAAACTTGTAACCGAAAGTCTGAAAGGTGACTTTTCCGAACTGCAATTTAAAAGCCAAAAATAAAAATTTCGTAGAATTTGAGAGAAAGAAGAAGAAACAGCAAAAAAAAAAGAAAAAAAACGTTGATTATCCATCCTTTAAAATCCATTTTCAAGTTATATTGTTGTAATAATTACAGAAATATAGTTTTTAGGCTAGCTTTCAAATTGTCAGCCAAAATTATAGTTTTTAGGCTGGTTTTCAATTGTTTTCACTACTGCTCGGTACGCAAAATGTACGAAATACCAAAAAATCGCCGAGACTCAATTTTTCAGATTTGCAGCTTCAATCGTGGATGGGTGTCAGCTCGAAACAGCTACACGTGATCGGAATAGTGAACTGGGACTGTTTCGAGTCTAATCACGCAGCCAACAGGCTCTACTTTGGATCCGAATATTCCATGGAAAGATTCAACTCAGAAGCTGTTTTTTCCTACTTTGTGAAGAAACGCAAACCAGATTGGGATGAACCTAACCAAAGACTATCGATGACCTTGAACCCTCTGTTCAGTAATTTCATCGCAGTTCAGGGCGGCGTGAAAGGAAAACTACATCAGGAATTGCAACTAAGGTAAAGCAAACGTTTAACAGAGCTGAAGTGATTTCGGTTCTTTTTCCTTTCCCCACCTGCAAAATTGTACATCATAATATTTGTTCAGAAGGGAAAGAGCCATGATTTTACCCAAAAAATACACTAGAACAGCCTCAAGTTTGCTAGGAAATTGCCACAAACCGTCTGAAATTTCCCGAAAAACGACCAAAAATCACCCAAAAACCTCTTCAATCTTGCTTGGAAACAACCCGCCACATTCAAATCCCACCCTCAGATTAGATCAATGATAAAGCGGTTTTTGGGTAATTAATTACATTATGATACTAAGGCAATTATTTATGATAGAAATTCAATCAAAATTTGATCAACGAGACAATTAAAATCCGTTTGAACAAAAATGTTTTATATGCTAAATTAATATTTACAGAATTGGAGTCGAGAATATATTAACAAATCCCAACCCTGATTTATCTCATCACAAGAAATTCAAATCCGCTCCGCAGACGTTGCTGGTCCTAGGAGGAGATGTTGGAACCCTAGATCATATCGCCAACTCCCTCGTCAACGGTATCCCTGTTGTACTATGTCAAGGATCCGGAGGAATGGCGGACATCGTAATCGAGGTGCTCCGGATGACAAGAGGAAGGCCCGTTTTAGAACCATACGTTTTGAATTTAATTGAAACGCAGGTAAAAAAAATTCTAAAGGGAGTAACCAAAACACTATTTTTTCTCTCAATGCTAAGGGAAAGTCCAGGAATTATTTTTTGTGGATGCTACGGCTAGAGAAAACTTAAGAAGACTTTTTTCAATTGTTATAGTTTTTACAAAACTTTTCAATTCGTATAGCTAAATTTTTGCTAATAAATCACATTAAACTACAAAAAATACCTTTTTTAATTGTTAAAAATTTTATATCTAAACCGAATATACTTATATAGTACATGCAAAAATAACAATGAATATAAACTGTGAAATTTTATAAGTTGCTATAGAAAAAAAAGAAACAACAAAAAAGAGCCTGCGGTGACGTAATACAGGATCGCACAGTCTCCTCGGGTATCAAAAGCATGTCGTGATCAAGCGAATCCGAGACATGATCAACAAACCGAGAGGCGAGCGAGACCTCTTCTCGGAAGACTACATGGATGCAGTTACTCACGTGCGAAACATTTCAACTTGTATTCGCCTCTCGGAACTAGTGACGATTTATAGACTGGACAAACCAGCAGTGGGAGAAAAACTAGACCAATGTATTTTCAAGTCGCTTCTGAAAGGGCGAGCTGTGCGTGACTTAGACCATGTGTTCTTGGGGCTAAAATGGCATAAATGTGATGCAATAATTAAAGACACCCTCTTCTCACAAGGTAAATTAGATTTAAATTTTCTTTTAAGGCCTTTTCAAAGTGTGGAAAGAATCTGTGACGTGATTTCACTTCACAAACGGCAAACTGCATCATTTAATCAAATTTAATATAATCAGAAAAAATCTGGGATGATGTAAAGCAACTAAATCCCCCCTCCGAGATAGACCAAGCTAAAATCTCCACCCCAGCATTTATTTCGATTTAAGTCGCTAAGTGCTGCTTGTAACACGCTCGATTCTGATTGGCTGAAAACTCCCACTTTGAACCCCATTAACATCCTACCCCAAATTGTTGGAGTGGGGGAGTGGTTGGGAGGGGAGGATGTTCAGTTGGTTCAAACAATTGATAAAAATGATCAAAGAGGTCATCAAAAAAAAAACAAATTGATCTCGGAATTTACTTTGACTTGAAATTGGCGGTGACGTCGCTCATGATGGCGGGATTGGATATTGAAAATTTATTTTCAGTTATTTTTAGCCCATCAGAATAGAGTGTTCAAAAACCTGAGAGAAATTGCGAAAAAATCTCAAAAATGCGAATAAATCCAGGCTTTTAATTTTAACATTGACCAATTACAAAATAAGCAGATAAATAAATTTTCACTTTTTGCAAAACCCAAGGCAATTTTTAGAAAAAAAACCCTGAAACCGATTTTTTTTTAAAAAAGAAAAACAAAAAAGTTTTTTGTATATCTGCTAAAATTGTACTGAAAATTTTGATGTTTTGCTATATATCATTTTCTGTTAATAATGACTTCGATTTGCGCAAGTTTTTTTTAGCCAATATCGAACAACTCTGATTGATTGAGAGTTTTCTATCATTGAGTCCCTCCATCATAAGAATACCCCCAAATTGATTTACTCGGAAGGTCATCAGTTAGGCCCGATGCCTGTCAAGTCATGTTTTTGTAGATCATTTTTTTCATCATCTCAATTCCATCTGGTTAAACGGGTTGACCTTTGTAGACCGAAAATGTGAATCATACAATTGCTAACACTAAGTATATGAAAAAAGACGAATCATAAAAATTTCATACATTTTGCTCAAACGGTGTCATCGAAATTGTATGACTAGCATTTTTGATGGCAACAAAAGATTTTCCAAGTTATTTTGAAACGGCCCCGAAACGAATTTTGTAATCAAACAAACATTTTCCTAAAAAATTTTCCAAAAAAAAATTCAAACAAACATTTTCCTGGATACACAAAAACTGGATTTTTTTCCCGTTTTTCAGGATAGTTTATCTTCAAAAATGCTCAAACCTCCTATTTATTTTGTATGGCATGTTTGTTTATACCTTGATCAATGATCAAATTTTGACTAATGTAAAATTCAAATTTTAAAGAAGAACATCTTTGACTACTATTGCCAACATTTAAAAGTTAGATAATTTCAGTATATCATTTGTGTAAGACAACTGTTAGACGATTCAGGTAGTTTCCAATGCATTGTGATTGCAAGACGGTTAAACATTTGGTGACTCTACTTTTGAGTAAACCATGGTTTTTGCCGCTTAAGCTCGTTGCGAACATATCCCAAAAAATTTGAGAAATTGATTTTAGAAAAAAAATAAAACTTTTCGGTTTTTGGAAAAGTGCTAGCAATTTCCAGAAATGAAAAGCACTAATCATAGACCTTTCAAGCAATTTTATGTACTTATGGAATTGCCTGAAATGTGTATGAGTAGCATTTTTTTTCTATATGAGAATTGTATGAATAGCATTTTTGGTCAAACCGGGTGATTATAGTTAATTGGTAAAACTAAGAATAATATCAAAAATATTGTTGGTGGTTTTAGGAGCTCGCAATATAGTTTTTGAAAATGAACATTATGACCGAAACGAACCACAGAAAATATTATCCAATAGATCTTTTAATCTGTAAACTTATTTAATCATTCATTGCATGAATTTTGTCCCTGATTTTTATTTTTTCTTTATATCTATGTTCAATTTTTTTTTACTAGAATACTAAAAACCTTCGAATGCTATTTGTTAACGTTTTTTTACATGAAGACTTTTTAAATTTTGATATTCGTGCTACATAACTCCAAGAATTTTCAATTTCCTTCTTGCTGATGTTAAGATTGATAACTTATTTGCTTGCGGTTCCAACTTTCTTAAATTTTTAGGCAATATTTTTAATATTTTAGATAGTTCACGTACATGCAATTATTTACATTTTTTCAATTATTTAGAAAATGTAGAAAATGTTTCATTTCTTTCTTTTTTCATGCTTTCATTTTTTCTTCTGAAATAATGAATTGCTAGTTTGACGAGTATTTTGAGAACAATTCAAGATCATTGAAGCTATACAAGTTTTACAAAAAAAAAAATTGATATAAAAAATGTTTCCCAAATTAGTCATAAGAAATAATTAATTGCTCGGGGTTTTTTCCCGGGACATAACACATAATATAATAACTGTCTTAATTAAATGATTTCAAATGATGGCTGAATAATGGAAATACACGACATCACTAGAAGTATGATTTTTAGGTGATTTAAACTTGAGAAGCAACATTCGATCACTTTGCCGAAAAGCTCTTGTTGAGGAGCAAACCGATTTCTTCGAACTATTTCTGGCTCTTGACCTGGACTTGCGAAAATACATAACAACCCGGGAATTACACGAGCTCTATAAATTTTCGATTCTGAAGGAGCCGTATTTAATGAATTTAATGGTGCGAAATGGAAAATTTTGTCTCTCCGATGCATATGACGCAATCTTCACAAGTTCTACTGCTTATGAATTCTTCTGCCTGGATTCCTTGAGCGCAAGTTGCCAAAATTCTTCTCAAGGTCAGATAAAAGCTGTTTCTCTAATGTAAGCCCATTTGTAATTTTTCTTTTTTTTTGAAGAACCCTGAAAAAGGTGATTTGTTTCGAACCATTTAACTTAATTTTTCATGCATGAATTGACTCGATAAAAACACTGCTCATTCTTTTTAATATTATCACTGAAAATTTAAGTGCACTATTGAATGATTCACTTTTTCACAAACCGACTATGCTTCTGTACCCATGGATCATTTTTCGGCAATTATGCTCTCATTCTGGATAGTACTTGAATATTTCTGCAATAAACATCTGTTAATTTCTGAAATTTCCTACTCGATCTTCAGCGTGCAAGATGAAAACAAGAGTAGCCGGTTGCTGTGCAAGTAGCACAGAATGTTCCGACCAAGTTAAAAAACAATAAACGTTTTTTTTTCTTAGAAAAAGTTTCGTTTTTATTGGGTTATGTGATTCAAAAACTAAACGATCGCATAGACAAAAAGTCAATTAGGCGTGATTGACATCTATCTTTTTTTCATAAAAAGAATAACAAAAAAAATAAAACAAATAGAAAAAAAAATTATTTAATTTTTTTTCTGATATTTTGCACACAATTTTTTACAAAGACGTTTTATTTTGCCAAACAAACGCTGAATGGTTATCCAAAACTAGTTTTTTTGAATTAAAGACATGTTTTTTAAAAATCCTAATTCTAAAAAAGTAAATTTACATTAATATCGAGCGTTACTCTATCACGGTGTTCGCTACAAAAATTACTAGATCTCGGAAACTTCAGACCAGTTTTTCTCGACACTGGGACATATTTCTGAAAAAGTTAAGCATCCGTTCAAAAAACAAAAGAAAGAACTTTTATATGATATATCACTCAACGCATTCCTATAAAAAATTACGGCAAAAAAAATAAAACTAGGATACACCCGAATACAAAGTTCTAACCTTTTTTCAACGGTCGGAACAAAAATGATCAACTTGCTTACAAAATTTAGGCTCTCAAATATAATTTGCAGTTGAATAGTTATTTTTATTTCATATGACTAGGACTTGACATAAAACTAACCCAGTTGCAACCGAAAAGCTTATATGGCAAATCTGGGTACCTGGTGTAAATTAAATTGCAAATCTGGGTACCTGGTGTAAATTAAATCTTTATGAAATCAGAAAGCAAACAGTCAGAACTTATTCATCGCATCAGTAAATTATTGAAAAATGTATTCAACCCATGCTTCTATTTCCAGCCACTCTACTATGCGCACGGATTTTTTTTACTACGCCTTTGATTTGTTTTTGTACTTAGGGACCAGCTGCATTTCAGCTACAATTTGGTTGTGATTACATCATAGATTAGAAAACAAAAATTTAACTACTTAAAGTTTGTTTTAGTGAATCAATTTGTTACAAGTTATGCAATAATCTAACAACATAGAAAACTTCTCATTAAAAAAGCACCAACTTGAGCAAGCGCAGACAAAAATTCAAGCTGTTGAAGCGCCGCTGAGAACTTTCTATTAGGTACTATCTTACGTAGACTGGATTGGTTAATCTATGCACCATTTCTCTATAAATAAATCAATATAAATTAGTTTTCAAATCTTTGAACTCTTATACTTTACTAGTTCACTTCTATTGCGTCTTATCAATAACTTTTAAGGAACATATTTAAAAAAACTTCACAATAAGGAGAATATTTCGCTCTTTCTCAGGCGCGCTCTAGCAAAAGGTGGAACTTTTATTTTTTTAATGAAGTTAATAAAAAATATGATGATGATTTCGAGCGGGATGATTTATCCAAAGAGCGCCAATTGTTCAAACAGCCTAATTTTGTAGTCCTATTCGTAAGATTACAAAAAAAAATTGTTTTCCCCAAGGGTCGTTTTTATCTATACAGAGGCGCTCATGGATATATGGAACGAATTGATGATCAAAAAACTTGCGAAGAGACTAGAAAAAATCTTATGTAGTATGAAGTTTCTAGCAATATTGTGGACAGATCAGGGGGCGGATCTAGGATTTTCTCGAGGGGGGGGGGGATTTTCAAAAAAAATTCGAAAATTTTGATGACCTTTTTTATTTTTAGGTCGACCAAATTGATTTTTCGAGCTCTCCCAAAGCACTGTTTTGCCCCTATTTTGGCTAAATTTTCTGCGTTGCAGGCAAATTTTTGTTGAAAAAACAGTAAAAAAAGCCGTTTTTGGGCATTTTTTGAAAAATTTTGAGAAAAGAATTGCGTTTTTTTGGCGCGCGCTCCCCCTCAAAGTTAGTATATATTGCCGCCGAAGGCGCCTTTAGAAAAATTTTAGAGTCGGTCGGCCAAAAATGGATTTCTGAAAAAGTATCAAAGGGGGGACCCTTTGGGTGGGCAGGGGGTCGAATCCCTGAGGGAGGGGGGGCGTCCGCCCCCCCTAAATCCGCCCCTGGGACAGATTGTCCCGCTCCTAGCCTAAACAAAACGGCGTAATTTCTCTGCTTACTCAAACCAGTTTATACATTTTGAGTGACATCTGACAAATCCGGTGTCCAACATTTTTTCGAATATCACACACTGTTTTAAGGAAGAGTAAAGCAAAATCTAGGTTCCGATTTTGAGCTTCCTTACCATCTCAGATGTCGAGTCTGCGTTTCCTGAAGTTATCGAGAAAACATGCGTCAAGAAAAACTTTTTTGACAAGAAACAATCGGTTCGCGCAACCAATGCGTTCGAAGACCTAATTTCTTTTTTTCAAGGCAAAAACGCTTCTAATATTAAATATTTGGAAAGCGTTTAACTAGCTTATTTCATCCAGAAGTTCGATATTTTCAAAGCTAGCTCCGGTACTGCAAATCGAACCAGCAAACATAACAAAACATTAATAAAAGTCTTTATAATCATTAACTCAAATAAACCACTGAAATAGTAATTTATCTTCAAGGTGGCTTCATTTTGACACTGTTACAGTTCAAATTGTTTCGGCTAACTTTTCAGCATAATTTTGCCAAATGGATGATCTTTTAGTTCAAATTACGTTATGGTATTTTAGAAGCAGCGGTTGAGCTTTTCTGGTGGTCCATATTCAGTTGCAGTTTACGCTTGTCCACACTTCTCTGGAAGATGAGCCAGCATCAACTGGCCCTTGCATTAATAGCCATTTCACTGTGTGACACCTGCTCCAGTTACGTTCCTGAAAACGAGAGTGTTCAACTTAAGAAGTTTGCTGAACTGAAATTTACGTTCGAGACGTTTGCGATTGAACTATTGGATCAAGGTACCCAAATTTCACTCTTATTATTTTAAGAAATCTACGACAGTAAAAGCACGCCATCTGATCAAAACTAAAAAAGCTGAAATATTTTTTGTTTCGAAAGGTTTAGGTTTAGACTAAAACAATCATGTGCACAATCACTGATACATAGAATTCAGATGATAATACTGAATTGAAACGACTAAAGACTTTCATTTCGTAATGAAACAAGGAAAAAATAGTCTTCTGAGAATAATTCTATATCTTTAAAAAATAAAGCAACCGATCGGATGCAAAAATTAAGTAGTGGAATCAAAAACTCTGGTATGGGCAAAATCGAGACGTCCTTCAGAGCTAAAGAAAAGAAAGAAAGAATTAAATTCTCAATGTTACTAGAAAATTCATATCATATTGCGCATAAATACATCAGTATCAAAGAGGGGACAGCTAACGATCCCATAAGGGATACTAAATGCTGCCCCAAAAAATATTAGAAACATGAATGATGTAGTTAGTTGGGTTTCAAATTATTATGAAATCTAGTGCATAAATTCTACATATTTGCAAAAATAGAACGAACAAAAAAAGGTGAAATATAAAATCATACATTAGAGGGTCTAAAGGCCTACTCAGAAATGGCATGATTTATCTCCGTTTTAAGTAACACACAACATAACTTAGTTTATTTAAAAACAGTTGCAAATGTTAATGAACTGATTATAATATTTACCTAAAAAAATACAAGTTTTTTCCTTTCATTTTAAGCCTTGGGCATGAATATGAAATTTCTAAGTGATTTTTAGGAAAAACGAAAAAATTGGGCATAGGTTCCCCCTCAAGCGGGCCATTTCGGCCCATGTTTTTTTTTTAAATTCTTAATGGATGCGCCACTTTTCCGAGACTTTTATTCAGTAATATAAACTCACAAGGAGTCCGTCGTACTAGGTTTTTCGGGGATTACGTCAAAAAAAATCTCGGGTCAGTGAAGCAGCAATGGTATTTTAATAATTCCTAAAATTAAATCTATTTTCCATCTATCCATCATATGCAAAAAATATATATCTTTTAGGAATAATTCAATTTAATTCTGGCAAAAGATAAATTTGATGAGTTCTTTGTTACTTAGAATGAACAGATCTCTAATTCGGTGAGCCACGCTTTGAATATTTGCCTGTGAAAAATTAGTGAATTCATTGGGCATTAAAAAGTTCTGTTTAAGTAAATTGTAAAGTTTCGTTCCCCTGTAACTTATCGACATTCTCTGCATTTTGGTTTTTAATTTAGGAATTTTCATCAACTCTGAATTAGCCCTCCTAGTCCTATACGTTGGTATTTCAAATTTAAAAAGTTCATTTAGAAATTCTTCAGAATGAAGTCCGGAGACAGATCTCAAAACAAATTTTAGAAGTTCATACACATGTAATTCGTGGAAGTAAATTAGGCGAATAATTTTTTTTGTATCATCAAAAGGGGCAAACGATTTGTGTAGCTGGTACAACCGTACACTAAAATGCCGTATTGTAAAATTGGTTTAATATTAGAGGCATAGTATTTTAGTATGGTACCTCTGGGAACATAATGACGCATTTTTGAAATAATTCCACATTGTTTTCTAAGCTTAGTTCGAACTAAATCAATATGAGAATTGAAAGATAATTTAGCATCCAAAATAATTCCAAGGTATTTGCAAGATGAAGCATTTTTTAAAGGTAATTTATTTATATAAATGTTTTGGTTGGAAGCACTATTTGAAAAGACGTAGACTTGAACAGTTTTATCTATATTCAGGGATAATTTATTTATTATTAACCACTTGCCTACAGCTTCTAAGTCTTTGTTGAAATTTTCAACAGAGCAATTTAAAGCAGTTATGTTAGTATTATCGGCAAACAGGAAAACTTCACTATATTGGCAGACTTGGGGAAGGTAATTAATATATATCAGAAACAAAAGTGGTCCTAGTATTGACCCTTGAGGGACGCCGCACTTTAAGTCTATCCACGTTGACTTTGTTGTACCTATTTCTACTACTTGTTTTCGATGTTTCAGATAGCTTATGAACCAACTTAAATCTTTTCCATCTATCCCATACATTTGCAACTTTTGAAATAGTATCTGATGATCCAGTGTATCAAAAGCTTTTTTTAAATCAAGAAAAGCTGTATATTTTTGCGACCTGCTCATATCTAAACGAAGTTTTTCTGTTACTTCCGCAATTGCATCGACTGTGCTGTGATTTTTGCGAAAACCAAATTGTTTAATGTATATTAACGAATTCGTTTCCAAGTAATTATATACTCTGTTGTACATTACTCGCTCAAAAACCTTGCTCCAGGTGACAAGAAGGGATATTGGTCTGTAATTTGTAACATCAAGTTTAGAACCTTCCTTATATAATGGATAGACAACAGCCCTAGCTAGACAGATAGGAAAATGGCCAGATTTAAAAGAAACTGCAATGAGTTGCCTTAATATGGGTAAAATCGCAAATGGGCTTGCTTTCAAAACAAGATTACTGATTCCATCTACGCCAGATGAAGCTTTATTTTGTAGGTTAGAAATGATAATGTGAACTTCACTTTCCGTAACAGGGAAATTGAACATGCAAAAGTTAGGTGTATCAAACGATTGTGTGATTCCCTGGTTTGGTATGTTTTTCGCCAGATTTATGCCAATCGAAGAGAAATGAGCAATAAATTCATTTGCAATTGCCGATTCATCGGTGATACAATTTCCGCTAATGGAATAATTGATCGAAACAATTTTTTTTGATGTATTTGTAATTCCCCTTAAATTATTTAAAATTGTATATATCTGTCTTGAGTCACCAATACACTTACTAAACTTATCATAGTAATAATGCTTTTTACATTTCTTAATCTCAATTTCACATTTCTTCCGGACAATTTCAAAACGCAACCTGGCACCAACTTCAGATTTATTGTTACACCATGTTCTATGAAGCCTGTTTCGTTTTGCGATTAGGTGTTTAATACGATTCGACAGCGAAAAAGATCTAGATTTCCGCTCTTGTGTCTTTGTGGTTTTCAGTGGTGCGTATTTGTCTAATACACTGCTAAACGTTGATTGAAATTCCGCAAATAAATCATCAATGCCTTTTGATGGGTCTAAAGCGTCATTATAGTGTAATTTGTTCATAAGTGTTTGATTAAGCTTTTATATCTGTATTTTAGATTTTAAGAAAGTTGTATCACGATAAATTTTTGGACAAATTTTCTTTGATGTTTGGGTGTTTAATTCTAAAATAATCGGAAACCACTTGTTTGTTATAAAAACGAATGATAATTAATCAAACACTAAAAAACTATACAAATAATTTCAGCGGATTAATCCGTTGTTTTTTGTTCTATGAAACTTTTGTTGCTTAAATAAAGTTTGATTTCTTTAAATTGCTCCTGAATAAAAAAATGACAATAATAAACAACTTCATACTGAGTATTATTGCTTATTTTTGACAAGCGACTTTACCAGTAACAAAAATTTGTTTTGTTTTTGATAAAATGGGTCGCCAAAAATAAGCTGAGCCAGCCCAATTTTCATTATAAGCTACTCAACTTAACTTACCTGAAACGTACACCAAAATTTGGTGTGAAATTTTATCAAAGTCATACCGCAAATTTTTTTTGACCATTTCACTTTGAACTAAATGTGTTAAAAAATTGACTCGTTAATATTTAAAAAAAGTTTAAGCTGCTATTCAAAAAAACATGATAAAAGATTCAAATAGTGTGTAAGAAATTAACCTACGCAAAAATCTCCCATGACAAAAGGTTCTATACCAAAAGATCCCATGAACCAATTGGCCTTGCCAAAAAATTCCATATCAACTCAAACGATCTCACATTTCATAAGCAAAGTACAGGATCGAAGCGTAATCACAAGTAAATAATATAGATTGAAAAGACAACAATATAGATCGAGCTTTTCATGAACAACGCAAATCTTTAGATACCATAATTCAAAAAGGACACATTTTGTGTAGTTTAAATCAGTGTTAATTTGGCCGTAAGTTAGTACTACTCAACCAATAACGTATACATTATGCATACCTTGTCTCATTATCAAACTCAATAAAGTGTTGAAAAAAGATAATTAGTTTGGAAAAAGGATCTTTTGAAAACTTCATGTATTTGAAAACTGCCGGTTTGATTGCATGCTCATATATTTTTCCCAAACTGAAAAGTTTTCACATTGTTGCTTAGTTTTTTTCCTTTGGTTCTCTTTTTTTTGTTATAAATCAATTCAAAATCAAAAGCCCCCTGTTTTATTTGCAAGTAAAAATTTTGTTTTCGTTTCAAAAAATTTGTTTTAGTTTGGAATTTCAACGAGCGATTTACAAAAGATCTTATTCTGAAGAAAATATCATCAACTATTGGAGTTTCCATTTTCGACATAGCAATTTTTACTCGGGCCAAAGATTTTATTTCGCATGCTGCTGTTCAAACGTGCTCGAGCGAGGCTTGGAAATCAGGTCTAAAATATTCGTACTTTCATTTAATATTGGTTATCATTTTTCCTTTTTGCGCTGTCGCTGACATCAGAAAAAGCCAAATTAACAATCAGAGTTTCAGCTGCAAAAAAATAGGTTTCGCCGAAAACGGATTCGAAACGAATTGTGATAAAGATGGGGATAAAGTTACACATTATGTCACCATGCCACCTGGAACTACTCAAAAAGACAAAAACTTATCAATAATTGATTGTCTTAAAGTAGTATACTCAACACCAGCGATTAAGTTCACGCTACATTTTTTATTCTTTGTATTATTTCTATTATTTTACTCTTGGTTCCTCGTTCGAAAATGCAGGGAAGTTCCTCTGTCAAAATCCGAGCACTTTCTTTTCGTATTCAATCTTTGTTACCTCTTGGAAGCTCTGGTATTGCTAATCCAGTTCAAAGGCCCTTTTGCTATGAAACTTGAAGTTTGGCTGCGCTGCGAGTGGAGCTACATCCAGGTCATATCATCGCTTTTTGGATGCTTTGGCTACGTCATAAGACACCTATCAACATCGGTTAGTTTTTAGCATGTGTTTGTTTATCGATAACTGTTTAACAAAAAATGACAAATTCAATCAAAAATCAAGCAAAACTGCGTTTTTAAATTAGCAATAAGTAAAACATCGGTTAAATCAGTTAAACTCGGAAAGCATTCATGAAGAGAACTGACTGTTACAGGAAGAAACTGTCGAAAATATTCACCGGTGCTTACGATGCAACAAAAACATAGCCTAATAAGTTAGCTGAAAAAAATTGAAAAGGAAAAGCAGTCGGAATTTCTTAAAACTAAAATTATAGATTTTATGATCAGAGGGCAAATTACCAAATTTTTGTGAGGATCGAACAAATCGTCTGTCGTTTTTCCCCTCAAGGTTTTAAAAAAAAATTATTAACTACTTGCTTCGGAAAAACATGTCTCGTAACCCAATAACCTTATTTAGTTTCGAATCAAATTGTTTCAAAATGTTATGAACGAAAACCTGCAAATGATAATATTTTGCGCACTTCCAATTACTTCACGTGCTAACATTTAGCAATCAAAAGAATTACATCATCTGACACAAACATCAAAAAATTCGAAATCAGTTTTAATGACATAGAAAAACAATTTCCATTTTCTGCTAAAGCCTCCCCCCCTTTTGAAATATGCAGAAAATGGTGAAAATGAGGCCAAAAATCTATGCTTTCACATTAGGTGCTGACGATGCACGCTGGATATGGCACTTCGATGTATGCCATCAGCGGCTTCTTCGTCTGGATCAGACTGCTCTCTTTCTACAGGTGCAGTCGTAAATTGGGACCACTCTGGATTCTGCTGCGGAAAATGATGCACGAGGCTCTGGGCTTCATGCTCATTTTCAGCACTATAAGCATCGCAGCCGGTATTTTCATGCAAGTTAGTACAAAATAAATTGTCAAAACTGGTTAAATCTCATGCTAAATTAGAAAAGGGGAAATTACAACTTTTTTAAAAGTTAGCAAATGCTGCAGTAAAAAGGAATTCAAACAAAGGAAATATTTGTACTATTTTGAATATGTCCAAAGCTATATATTCATTGTTAAAAGAATGCCCGAATCACGCTTCGGTCACGGCTGGAGGGGTCCCAGTGTCATCCGCCTCCTCAAGGTGGGACCGGCTGCGGCAAAATGGATGACATCTCCCCCTCCCCCACGGTTGGTCCTGCACTGAGCAGGCCGGGGGCTAATAAAAAAAAAAAAAAAAAAAAGTCGTAAATTGGGACCACTCTGGATTCTGCTGCGGAAAATGATGCACGAGGCTCTGGGCTTCATGCTCATTTTCAGCACTATAAGCATCGCAGCCGGTATTTTCATGCAAGTTAGTACAAAATAAATTGTCAAAACTGGTTAAATCTCATGCTAAATTAGAAAAGGGGAAATTACAAGTTTTTTAAAAGTTAGCAAATGCTGCAATAAAAAAGAATTCAAACAAAGGAAATATTTGTACTATTTTGAATATGTCCAAAGCTATATATTCATTGTTAAAAGAATGCCCGAATCGAAAGTATCTCCCAAGTTTACAGTGACAGACGCTTTCCAGTAAACAGCAACTAGCAATTATGAGCGAAATGAGGTCAAGGCTTGCTGACAATTTTTTCTAGGTCGACTCTTTCAAACTCGTGTCGACTGATGTTAACAAAGACCAAGTGATGTTTCGCATGAAAACTGTTATGACTGTTTGTTTTGCGACCCTATATAGGAACTTCTATATCTGCCCCTATTTTAGAGTCTCATGGATGTATATGGCTACAAGGACGACTATTCCTCTGGGATCCAGTGGCTATGGCTCCGACCATTCTTCATGTTCACGGGGGAGAACTTCCTGCGAACAGTGGGATCCAACGCGAGCGACGAGAACTTCATCGTTTACTACATGGTAGTTTACGTCGTGTTCTTCCTCCTTGGGAATGCACTCATGCTGAATCTTCTGGTGGCAATTTTCTCAGAGATTTTTAACAATGTGTTCATGCAGTAAGTAATTCGCGTGATTTAAATTACTTCATGAGGCGATAATTCGGAACAGGCGACAATTCGTGAGTAACAAAAGCAGCAAATTTAAACATTGATTACCGCGCACTGTTCCTTTCGTGCCGAATGTAAGCGCAGTGGAGCAAGCGTTCGCTACTTGCCAGAGCCTTGTTACGAATTGTCGCCCTACCCACTTACTCAACTATATGTTCGCTTTTTTCAACAGACATTCCAAAATAATGAATTGACAAAGGCAGATAAAATTGGGGTAAAAAACCAATTACGAATAGCTATATCTTGAGGCAATTGTAAAATTTATGCAAAAATGATGACAGCATCATCGGACAGGTTTACCTGATGTGGGAATGTTTAAGAACATTCCGAAATTTTTTCTCCCAAAACGTCATTTCATTTAAACTTAGCTTTGGTTTCAGTTCGGACCGCGAATTTAAAACAGAGTTTCTTATGCTGATAAAGGAATACTCTTCTAAAACTACACTGCCAGTTCCGCTGCTACTCTTCGAACTTATTTACAAGCTCCTGGTTCATTTAATCAACAAACTCGATTCCTCCGATGCCCCCATCAACTTGAAAAGAACTAACGATTTTCGGCTTGAAGAGCTTCAGGTCATTCGGTACTTTGAGAATCAAAGTTCGAACAAGATGATAGCGAATATTGAGAGTAGACTCAATATTGGCGAAACAGTGAGCTGCGCTTTGAAAAGTATCGACGAGCAGCAAGGCAGATTAGCCGACTTGAAAATAGTGTTTCAAGCTGTCGAGAGGCAAATAGATAAGCGTTTTTGTAAATTTAGGGAACAGAAGTTTAGTAGCCAAAAATAATAATTGCTGTTCCTTTATATTTTAGTTATCGAAGTAGATTATTCTTTTCTCTTTTCTTAAGCTTAGCGATCACTTCCAGTATCTGAAGCTCGTATTGAGCAAGCGGCTTTCCAAATGGTGCCTTTCTGTAGGTTTTTTGCCCAACACTACATCTTGAAAAATGGCAATTTCAGCAAAATTCAGAAGCCTTCTCTTTGCAATAGGCTCAAAAATTAGAAAAAAGGCAAACAAATTTTCAAAGTGCATTTCCAAGACCCTATAAAAAATATAGCTAAGGGTATATAATTCTCAAAAAAGTGCTTCTGCCACCGCTAATTAGCGGTCGCAAGACTTGGATTCAGCGTTTTCAATTAGCGGCAACGATTATACTACAAATTTTGCTTTTTTGATTGCTAGTTTCTGACAGGAAAGTGATGGTTTTGAACACCTCGTAATGGTTTTTCAATGGAAAACACGTCGTAATGGTTTTCAATGGAAAATACATCAAACTTTAATTTCAATTTCCTCTTCAATACTGTTAGACAAATACGCAATTCAGCCATTAAACAGTGATTTACAACAACAACAGTTGTTTTGAAACGTCTTGTTGCTTTTTAGAAAAGATGTCAAACCCTATTTTCAATAACTTTTCTTTTAATTCTGTTGTCAAAAAAAGCATATTCGGCGGTGAAAGTTATTCACAACTATTTTCGCTATAAAAATTAGAAAATTTCCATGTCAAGGTCTTAGAAAAGTACCAGTATACTTTAATTTACAGATTTAGCGAATCAAAGAAAAATTTGAAATGTGTGTGTGTGTGAGGGGGGGGGGAAGGGGGGTAGGTGGTGCTGAGAAGTCGTGAGCTATAATACGTCCAAATTGGTTCAATTATTTTTGAGACACCAAATTTCTTTTCGCGATTGGAGCTAAGTCTAAATGCACACTCTGGTTTTTTTCATGTAGACATTTAAATAAATAACCAATACATACATGCATGACAAATGAAGTTGTTGAAGTTCATCGTTTCGTGAGAAAATTTATTATTTGCTTTAGTTTACAAAGTAGGGCAGACAGAGGCCTCAATCGAATGATAACTAATTATACTTCTACTAACTAAACTATGCCTTACTTACAGTTTGTAGCGCACTTTCGATTTTCAACCTCGAGAATTTTTTTCAAGCTTTCTAGAATCCAAATCACGACTGAAAGTCACCCAACCAAACTCTTCCCCCCCCCCCCCCCCCTTCATGAGCTTTCATTGAGGTAGTCAAAATTGGCTGGAAAAAAATTTAAAAAGGACACAACACCGTAATTTCGCCCCACTCTTCGAGATTGGTCGGAGCAATGAAGAACAATTTTCAGTGAGTTTATATATATTTCACTATCACAGAAAACTAGCGTTTAACGCACCTTCGGTGCTTCGAAATTTTTCGACAACTCATGAAAAACCGCATATATTGTGGAAACAACATCTGCAAACTTTTAGAGTACTCTGACTGCACCCAATTACAAACTTTAAATTTTTTCTAACTCTCATTTTGGAGGCCAGATTTGCAACCACTGAGAGTCCCAGAGAGCACCCTACTATAGGGTTAGGAATCCAAAATTTTTTAAACCTAAGTTTCCCGAAAAAAAAAATTGAAAAAAAAGTCTTATCTCGGAAACTAAAAATATTTGACCATTCAAATTAAGAGGCAAGATTTGAGACGCCTGGGTGTACGTTGACAATAAGGTTGTATCTTCATCAAATTGGTAGTTTCAAATTTTTTGAATTTCTTTGTAGATAAGTTCTTTGAGAAATTTTGAAAAAATCAAAAAACGTCACATCTCGGAAACTAAAAGCATTTGAGCAGTCGCGTTTATCAGTCGCAGGTGACAAGATTTGCAACTCTTTAGAGTACCCTGACAACACCGAACTACAGCGTTGGGAATTTCAAATTTCGAAAAATAATTAATTTTAACCTTCTGAAAATTTTGAAAAAATCACAAAAAACGTCACATCTCGAAAACTGCAAAGAATTGGGCAGTCATATTTGAAGGCAAGATTCGCAATCCTTGAGAGTACTTTGACAGGACCTAACTACAGGGTTGGGAACTTAAGATGTTTAAAAAATGATAATAATTCAAGTTTTCTGAAAATTTTTGACAAAATAACAAAAAACGTCATATCTCGGAAACTAATAAGATTTGAGCAGTCATACTTGGAGGCAAGATTCGCAATCTTTGAGAGTACTCTGACAGGACCTAACTACAGGGTTGGGAATTTCAGATTTTTAAAAACTTATAATAATTTAAGTTTTCTGAAAATTTTTGAAAATCACAAAAAACGTCATATCTCGAAAACTACAAAGAACTGAGCAGTCATATTTGGAGGCAAGATTCGCAATCTTTGAGATTACTCTGACAGGACCCAACAACAGGGTTGGGAATTTCAGATTTAGCAAAAAAAAATTAATGTTTTCTGAACATTTTCTGAAAAAAAATCACAAAAAATGTCATATCTCGAAAACTACAAGGATTTGAACAGTCATATTTGGAGGCAAGATTCGCGATCCTTTATAGTACTCTGACAGTACCCAACTTCAGGGTTGGGAATTTCAGATATTAAAAAATAAATAATTTAAGTTTTCTCAAAATTTTTGAAAAATCACAAAAAAACGTCATATCTCGAAAACTACAAAGAATTGAGCAGTCATATTTGGAGGCAAGATTCGCAATCTTTGAGATTACTCTGACAGGACCCAACAACAGGGTTGGGAATTTCAGATTTAGCAAAAAAAAATTAATGTTTTCTGAAAATTTTCTGAAAAAAAATCACAAAAAATGTCATATCTCGAAAACTACAAGGATTTGAACAGTCATATTTGGAGGCAAGATTCGCGATCCTTTATAGTACTCTGACAGTACCCAACTTCAGGGTTGGGAATTTCAGATATTAAAAAATAAATAATTTAAGTTTTCTAAAAATTTTCAGAAAAAATCACAAAAAACGTCAGATCTCGAAAACTACAAGGATTTGAACAGTCATATTTGGAGGCAAGATTTTTAACTCCTTAGAGTACTCTGACAGCGCCCAACTACAGGGTTGGGAAAAAAATCTCAAAAATCGTCTTATCTCGTTAGCTTAAATGAAAATGATTCGGGCATTCAAAATTGGAGGCCAAATTCGCAACCCCTAATTCGATATTGGGCTGCTTAGTTTAAACTCGGTAAAATAACCACTAAAATCAAATTGGAAAATCGAAAAAAAATTCTTAACCATTGCAATATACAATATAGCTTAAACATGCAAAAACAATACGTTGAAAAAGCTTAAACATAGCGAGATAGTGAAGCCCGCATTTAAATATATAATAGATGATAGTATCCCCACCTTCAAGAGGAACTCAACAGTCAAAACGCTGAAACCATTTAAAAATTTTGAGGTTTAAAAACAAACTCGACAGAAAGGCGAAGCAGAGCTTCGTAAGACTTGCAAAACTACAAAACAGATTAGCAATCTAGCAGATAGAAAATGAATAGAAAGCCACTAACTCGAAAAAAAATCCAAAAAAAAACAACAAATTTTCAAAAATTTTGTCTGTAATAATGTTTTTTTTTAGGAAAACACGTCAAAAAATACAAAACCTATTAAATAAACATTCAGAAACATAAATCGAAAGGCAACCGCCAAAAGCTGGGTTAAACTCCCGTTAATCCTGAAACAAAACTGTTGTTAAGAAAAACTTTTCAAGGTTCTGAAATTCTACGATTTTGAACTCCCCTCCGGAAACAAACTAAAGGATTAAAATCTAAATGAACTTTATCTAAATAAAAAAAAACCTCAATAAAAGCGGCCAATCAAGGCCAAAAAAGCGATCGCGAGTTTTCCAAAGCAATAACAACAGGGGAAAAAACTCTACGATGTGGAAATTAAGACAAAACATAAGCAGACAAATAATAAGCAGACAAATTTTTGAAAACGAAATATTTCCCGTTTAAAAAAATGTAAGATTCAAACCCAAAACCTTTGCCGCCCCAGGCGTATTCGTTGCACTAGACCAAGTGTGCCGGAGACGCAAGGAAGTAAAATTATATGAATTGAGTCTAAGCTTACCATTTCTAATTTTGACCATTCTGTGAACAAAGTTGTTTACGGGAAAAAGTATAGTACTCGATTGCAAAACCCTTGCTTATCGCAAGGATAATATTGAAACTTGCGATAACTAGTAGAAGAATAAGCGGTATATTGAAATGAGAAAAACAATTTTTCAGAGGCGATTGCGAAAATCCATTTAAAAAGCGATGACAATACTTTGCTAACAGCACTAGAAACATTCCAAAAAAAACATCAGCAGGCAAGCAAAGAACCGACATTTTTTAATGAAAAATTTTTTATTAAGAAAAAAACAAATGCTGGCAAGATTCGAACCTATCTAAAAAATTAAGATAAGCTGAGAGATTTGATATTATTATAAACCAAACTATCTAATATTTCAACAGATTTTGCTAAATGTTAACCTGAAAAAAAAACCTACATCCCGATTCGAATCCATATCGCGGTTCGCATTAATGAGAAATCAATTCGCTCGTTAGAAATGCGATTATTTTGGATGAACGATTTCACACACCCGATTCTGTTCATCTTCAAAACTGACAAACGCCGACTTTCAAAAATTGAATAATAGTAATAAAAATATAAGAGTAAAAACAATGAGAGCGGGTAACTGCGCAAGTATCACAGAAGGTTGCGACCATAGCATTGAAAAAAAAACAATTTTTTTTTCACGTCTATCTTTGTTTTGCGTGGTGTAATAAAAAGATCTGAACAAAAAACTAGAACATGGGCATATTCGACAGTCATAGTAAAATAAGCAGATTGAACATCAGTTTTTGGGGAAAAAATGGCTAAAAACACAAACAAAATCCTCAAACAAATCAAAAAAAAATCCTCCCTTTTTTATAAGTTTTTGATTCCCTAAATAGCGGAAATTAGAAATTAGACAAAAAGTCGAAAGCTACAAACCAGTTCTTTTCGACACAGAAATTTTTGGATCTTTTGATGTTCTAATCGCGACTGAAAGAGTTTAAAAAAATAATTGGCGTTTCTGCGATTCGCAGAGGATCTATGAAAGACCTTACAGCCTGTCTAATCATATTGCGTTTTTTCTTATTTCTTCACATTCCAGATTGTTCTTTCGATGAGCGACGCTCAATCGTTTATATGCTTCTCAAGGTCGTTTTTTTTTGCGTCTAAAACTTTCACGTGGTACCACAATAGCAGCCGAAATCGGTCAGGCTGTGATAGACCTAAAGCTGGAGGTCAAAAGAGAGGTCGTCTTCACATACTATCATTGCAATGACAGGGGATATAATACACGATCTGACGATCACGAAGTGAACGCCTTACCACTACGCTAAGTGCCTACGACCACTATGCTAAGTGCTTTAATATGATATATCACTCAACCCAGTCCGATGATTATGGTGCCTGATTCTGCGTGAAAAAAAAACAAACACTCGAATACAAAGTTTCTCAACTTTTCAATGGTCGGAACAATTAAAAAAAGATAATTTGTAAGATGAACACGTTCTACAAAAGTTAGATCTATATGAACAAAGCTTAAAATCTACCTGAAAAAAAGCGTAATGGAAAATATATCATTTTACATAAATAAATCAAATATTTGAACAAAAAATGACCTTAAATTTACAAAATCGAGTACAACTACCTTTCAATTAATCTATATGTTCCTCTCCTCAACATATCCAATGATATTTTGATCTTCGTCGAATCATTCAGTTTTTTCAATTGCACCTCCTGTTGGTTTATTCCCAAAATATTACAGAGCCCTTTTGTATTGCCTTCTATGTACACTTGCTGCCCTTTGAAAAATGTCGTATTGTTATAAATCAGATTTTTGTCTTCAAGGTACACATTGCTGCTCTTTTGTCCACCAGAACTGCTTGAATTTTCGGACTGGTGAGAATTTACGGTCACTTTTGATTCTGGCAAAGACTGGCTACCTTTGGCTGAAGATGAGGTGGCAGTGATCAAATGCGCTATTGCTGAGTTTTGCGATGTTGACTTGTACTTTCCTGAAATAATCAAAATTGTATCCCGCTGAAACTTCTTTTACATCCAAATCACCAGCGGATTTACAGCCAAATCACCAGCCCCCCCCCCCCATATTTTGAGAAAACCATTTTTGGCTGACTGACCGTAAAATTTTTCTAAAGGCGCATTTGGCGCCAAAATATACTTATTTTGAGGGTGGAGCGCGCGCCGAAAAAACGCAATTTTTTTGGTCAAAATTTTCCAAGAAAAATGCTTAAAAACGCCTTTTTTTGGCATGTGTTTTCAAAAAAAAACGGCGCAGAAAATTTGGCCAAATGGGGCCCTTTCAATGATTTGGGATAGCTCAGAAAACCAATTTGGCCGGCCTATAAAAAAGTCAACAAAACTTTCGAAGTTTTTTTTAAAAATCCGCCCCCCCCCCCTCCTCGAGAAAATCCTAGATCCGCGCCTGATCCAAATCAATGATAAATTATTTGAACAAGGAAAAATTTTTATCAAAAAGGAATCAACTATACCGCAAAAAGCCTTTAAAAAATTCCAAAAATTGCAAAAACAGCTGTCTCACCTTTCGTTGCCGCCATCAAATCATTCAAAATCTCGTCATCTGTCAATTTCACGTCTAATTCAGCCAACAACGAATCCACTCTAAATCCATTTTCTGTCAACTGGATACTATTCCCAGGTCCCTTCAGCCTTGCAAACTCCTCGTACTTCGCAGTCGGGTCTTCCTCCTTTTCCTGTTCGAGCAATCCATTAGCTAATGACGTCATTAAAGCTGCCTCGTGCATACTTTCGTCTAACTGTACGTGTGTTTTAGCTATAGTTGATACTACATGCGGTACTGAGATGTCGTTCAAACCCGACACTATTTCGGGTGAGATGTGACAAGCTGCTGCTTCGGCGTTGGCCTTTTTCCGTAGCTTTCGTGTGAGGACCTAAGAAAAATATAAGCGTTAGATTCATTCAAATTTATCTCGAATGAAGATCATAAAATCTAAACAGTGCAAAAATATTGATATCGTGCAAAAGTTAACTTAAATTTCTTTGAATTTTTGTATAATGTTATATTCACACAGAGGCGAAGCAAAGCTTATGCAGAAAAGATTCAAGCAACCTATAATTTCGATTGAACCCAAAAACTCATATTTGAAAGTCACAGATTCTCGAGTTCTCGAGAAAAGTTTCAAAAAGGGCCTAAAATCAAAATGGCATTTCCGAAGGCCATACTTTTTTGGGTTAAAAAAACTTGCGCGTACTCGAAAATGCAAAGAAGCTTTCTTCAACCTTTTCTTCGAATTGAACCCAAAATCTCATATGGCAGGGTATTTTTCGAGCTAATTAAAAAAATGCTCAAAAAAATCAAAAGTTTGACTTTTCCGAGGGCAACAAATTATGGTGTAAAAATTGTGAGTAAGACTAATGCAGGGGAGCTTTTCACTACCCGCTATGGGTTTAGTTTTTGAGAAAAGTCAAAAAGATTCAAAAACAGTAAAAAAAATCAACAGTTTGACTACTCCGAGGGCCAACACTTTTATAAAAAAAATTGGGCGTGTAGACACTTTTGCAGTGAAATTCCGTTCTTTACATTGAAACAAAAAAACTCAGAATTGGGAAAGTAGTTTTCAAAAAGATGGATCAAATATCCCCCCACAGACTTTTTCGAAGACTGTAGACAGATGGGTATAGTAAAAAGAAATTAGGGGAATATGCAGGCAAACAGGAGAGTATACAGTTTATCCACTGATCCCTTTTTTTGAAAGTCGGTAAAAGTTTCTGAAAAAAACTTTTTGGCAAAAAGTGAATAAATTTTCCAGAGCGACTCAAAAAACAAAAAATCAGTCCCATTCATTTTCACAAAATCTGTTTTTATCAAAGAAGAATTCTAGGCTATCATGCCAAGCATGGTATTTGAATTAGCAACCAAACAAAACTTACCAAACGAAACCAAGCCGACAATTACAAGAAAACAGTTGAGCTGAAAAAAATGATTGAAAAAAAACTTTTACACAGAGGCGAAGCTGAAATTTGCACCAGTTGCGATAAAAATATGAAGAGTATGATTAAAATCAGCTGGAAAATGAAAAATCGTTTTTCTCAATTAAAATTGCACAAAAAGGCCAAAATATCCGGAACAAAATTGCCTGCCTCATTAGAAACTCTACAAAAAGCTTTGAGACTGCTAAACAGAAGCCAAGTTTTCGATACAAGTCCTTTCTGCATTCTAGGCCAACATGCCATGCATGGTATTTGAATTAGCAACCAAACAAAACTTACCAAACGAAACCAAGCCGACAATTACAAGAAAACAGTTGAGCTGAAAAAAATGATTGAAAAAAATATTTTACACAGAGGCGAAGCTGAAATTTGCACCAGTTGCGATAAAAATATGAAGAGTATGATTAAAATCAGCTGGAAAATGAAAAATCGTTTTTCTCAATTAAAATTGCACAAAAAGGCCAAAATATCCGGAACAAAATTGCCTGCCTCATTAGAAACTCTACAAAAAGCTTTGAGACTGCTAAACAGAAGCCAAGTTTTCGAAACAAGTCGTTTCTGCGGAACTAAGCAGTCTAAAATAAGCAGACAGACAATAATCTAAATTAACCAAAATTTTCTATGAGCAAGAAAAACAGGTCTCAACTGCAATCGAACTCCCGGGCTCTGTCGTCTCAAGCTTTGTATTTACTTGGAATCAAGATGAACCATCGAGCTACGGGAACTAAGCCGACAAAATAAACAGACACGGTCTTTGAAAAGCTTTGCCGTCTCAAGCAGTTGTTTTACCTCTGCGCCAGATGAGCCGGATAAGTGATGGGATTTGAACTTATAATTACCAAGCGGTAACAAAGGCGAAAAAACCTGAGCATAAACCCCTCATGCCGAAAAGAAATTTAAAAAAAATCGAAACTTGTAAAAACCCCTTTTCCCCTCAAGGCACACACGGGCACAATTTTTTTTCCGGTCGTAACGAGACTCAATAAGAGGTCACTAAGTCAATATTAATTAAGCCGATAAAAAATGAAAAAAGTTTTCTAGAATCTTCCATTGCCGGACCGCATAGGGACCTTGCTGTTGACTTTAACGTGCCTTGCAGTTATTTCAAACATTTTCCTAATGGATTGCATACCTTTATCGATTGTCCATGTCTTTCTCAGTGCGAAACAACGAGTTTTTCCTTGACGAGATTGTCCTTTTTTCGCTCTTTGAAAGCTTAACTTTTGCGACTGGGTTGTTTTCCTAATCTACTTTGGTTATAAGAACCCATGTTTATCAGGCTAGTTATCCTAATCAATCTGGTTATAAGAACCCATGTTTACCAGGAACTACGCTTAGCTGCCTCATGTAATCTTTTTTATTAATTTTCAACGCCATCAAGTATTTCATTGAAGCTACTGGCTCCTAGATTTTTAAAAGTAGCCAACAATTACACTCTTCTGCTTGATGCAAAAGGCTAACTGTGCAAGAGACACTACAAATTTTGAATTCATTATGAACCAAGGTACCACTAGGAGTCCTGTGGAAAAAGTTGTTTGCGGGAAAAAAGTCTAGTACCCGATTGCAATACCCCCTGCATATCGCAAGGGTAAAAATTTCAAACCCTCCTAAAACTACAATGAACAACAATTGCAACTACTACTTTACTTGCATATAGCACAATATATCACTATTTTTTCAATTTTTCGAAGATTTTGATTCCAAAACGGGCTGAAATACTCAAAGTGAACTAACGTTACTCAAATAAAACTAAGTTTTAACGATTTAAATTAAGCTACTGTAAGCTTTTAAGCAGTTAAAATAAGACTGTTCGCTCGCTTAATTCGCTCGAAATAAGACGAAAAAATCCAAAATTTCAAACCGGTTTTTCGCGACACGGGGAAAATTTTTTTACGAAATTTTTTAACATGGTTTGAATCACGACTGCAAGGGATTTAATATGATATATCACTTAACCCAGTCCGATGATTATTTGAGGTACCTGGTTTTGCATGGAAAACAAAAAGAAAAAACTAAAACACACCCGAATACAAAGTTCTTCCCCATTTTCAATGGTCGGAACAACAATTCAAGACATATTTCTTCCAACTCGATCTCTCAGAATTGGCACAAAGAAAGACTTTCAAAAGAATTTTTTTTCCAATAGAAATCTAACCTGTCCGCAATTGTCATTGTTGCCCGTGGAGGCCATCAGATTATCCGGAAATTGACCTCCAGAGTGTCCGCTCTTCAGTCTGGCCTCGATCGCCTCCTTCTGCTTCTCCAGAGCAGTCAACATCTCAGTCAGAAGAGTCTGCTTTCTACTCTCTAATTCACTATTCAATTTCTCAACTTCGTTTTTGTGTTCCAGCTCATACTGAGTTACTTTTTCATCCTAAATCAAAACATCTCACATAATTAGCCGATCTAAACAACATTTTTTCAGATAAGTTTCGGTAAAACCCAAAAAACTGCACAAACACAGCCGAATTTGGCCCTAGAACATAAATAAATTTTGTCGAGCCCACTTGTAAAAGCAAAAGCATCAATCAGATAGATTGCAGACACAGACTCACTTTACGTACAATTCAAGTCCGCCCTAATTTGTCTGGAAGCAAATTTCATGCATGCTTTTTGAACAATTAAACTTGCAGAGATACTCACGTAGCTCTTTTTCTCGATTTTCACTTTCCGTCTCAGCTTTTTGTTAGCCTCCAGTTTTACTTTGTTCACTTCTGGGTGAACGCCATCTTCAATCATGTCAATTTCATTATCCACTTCATCTATCATCTGGCGGCACAAATATTTCGCCTGTTTCGCACATTCTGCTAAAGTTCCAATTCTTTTCATGTGCTCACTAACAGCCTCATCATCATCAGGATTTATAGGACTTTCCAAAAAATTGCGAAGATTGCTTTCAATATAGAAAGGGTAGCGAGTATCTTCGGGGATATTTGATTCATAAAGACAGGCCTCTGGTCCACAGAGATTCATGTCCATAATTTCTGAAAAGTTATGAGGAAAAGTGAAACGTATCTTATGCACTTAGTCCCATTAAGATTGTTTGCTATTAAGCCTGTAGGGGTATACAAACCAGCCAAAATTACATAATTAATTGCTTGTTTTAAGAATTACCCTCACAGCACCCAATTACAGGGTTGGTAGTTTCAAATTTTGCTAAGTTTTTTATTCAAATTTTGAAAAACCATAAAATTTGGTGAAGTTTTACATATATAAGTTCTTTGAAAAACTTTAAAAATGAACTAAACACGTCACATTTCGGAAATTTAAAACAAAGAGCATTTGCATTTGAACGCAAGATTTGCGACTCATGTGAGTACTGTCACATAACCCAACTACAGGGTTAGGAATTTACAATGGAGAAACTTTTCAAATCTAAGTTTTCTAAATATAAAACTTCAAAAACCATTAAAATATCATATTGGAGGCAAGATTCGCAACCCCTGACTGAGATTACTTTGACTGCCCTCAACTGAAGGGGTAGGAATTTCAAGTTTTTTTTTATAAAATTCAAATTCAATGTTCTGAATTTTGTTTTGAAAAAATAACAAAAAACGTCATATCTCACAAACTTCTAACATTTGAGCAGACTTATTTGAAGGCGAGATTCGCAACCCCTGAGAGTATTCTGACAGCCCCGCAACTACAGGGTTAGGAATCAAATTTTGAAAACAAAAATAAACTTAAGTTTTCTGAAAACTTTTTGAAAAAATCACAAAAAACGTCATATCCCGAAAACTAAAAGGGTTTCAGCCGTCATATTAGGAAGCAAAACTCGGAGTACCCTGAAAAAGCCTCACTATAGAGATGGGAACTTCAAATTCTATGTTCTTTGAAAAATCATGAACAAATCCTAAAATGCGTCAAATCTCAAAAATTACAAGTATTTGAGCAGTAACATTCAGAGGCAAGATTCGCAACTCCTGAGAGTACCCTCACACTTTCCAACTACAGGATTAAGAATTTCAAATTTTCAGAAACTTTTTAAAATTCAGTTTTCTAGAAACTTTTGAAAAATCTCGAAATTACCGTATCTCGTAGCCTAAAAGGATTAGGTTATCATATATGGAAGCCAAAATCGCAACACACGGGAAACCCCTGAGAGCATCCAACTATTTGGTTGCTAATACACTGAATTCAAACAGAAAAACCGGAAAAAAGTCTTAACCATTGCAATATACGATATAGCGTAAACGTGAAAAAATTCTTTTGTTTAAGATGCGAAAATAATACGGTGAAAAAACTTCAACAAGAAGAGATAGTGAAGCCTGCATTTAAATATATAACCAAAGCCAATCGAAGATTGGGAAAGAGTAATGGACGCAAGTAATCATAAAGAAAACACTGACTTTGTTGAAAAAATCTCAACTTTCGAATTTCAAAGAAAAAAACTGATGCCCATTAAGCTCTTTGATTTTCTAGAACGATTTATGATTGGCGCTTTTCTGATACCATGAACCCAACTTGAGAAAACTGGATCAACAAGTAAAGTTTCTATTCCGCAGGAAATCTAAAATTTAAATTCCACCTTCGAAACTAGAAATTGTTCGCGTTTTTCGCGCCATTTCCACGTTCGTATTTGGAGAGTACTATTTACGTCATTTTCAGCAAATGAATTTCAATTGAACACAAAAATTGCATATATACATAAGTGCAGCAATATGTATGAATACACAATTATAGTTATTAGAGCATTTTAAGACTTTTTCCTGAAAAAAAATCAGTAAGACCTATTTAAGAGTCTTCACTACGTTGATTACAAGATATTTCTTTACTCATTTCTTTGATATTAACAATTATGTAAAAGTTGAGAAAGTGTTGCAATTTTCGTTGACCTGAAAATTGATTCGGCAGGTTTATTTTAAGCCTTTATATGAAAAACAGCAAAAAGAAACTGACAAAACCAATTTATTCAGTACCCGCAAATCAAAGTCATAAACTTTTATAACTTTAGACTGTGCAACTTAAGGTGGACGCCTATCGATCAAATATTATTCTGTCAAATTAATTTTCCTCCAATTCAACCAAATCTTCGATATCAACATCTTCTAGCACTTGGACAACAGGCTTCTTCTGTTTTCTCTCTTTAAGTTCCAGAAGGTGAACTCCTTTCTTGATTTCAGCTTTATCGATAATCAGCCTTAGTTCTCTGCTCTTTTCAAATCTGTTCACAGCATACTGGGTCTGACGTTTATTTTTGATTTCTTCTACTGCCATCATTGCTTTGACTGTCTCTTGCCAAAGTTCTCTAGAATACTTAACAGGGATGTCACGACGTCTTTCGAACTCAAAGCAAGGATCAATCGCAAGTTCTTTTCCACGACCTTTACGATGGCTTTTTGTCCATTTAACTTTCCGCGGATTTCTCTTCTTTTTGAAAGATGTGTGACACTTCTTAGAGCAATATTTGAACTGTTTGCAGTCATTCCGTACAAACATTACTCCATGTCCAGGCTGAATTGGCCCAGAACAAAAGAAGCAACGATCAACTCGCATTGCCTATCGGAAAGAAACAGTTTTTGCACGATACCTTTGTGGACAGTTCGCAACCCCTGTAGGAACCCTGACAACAAACCCAGTATTGGGTTGCCATTTTAAAAATTAAACACTTGATTTCAAACTGGAAAATTTAAAAAAAGATCTTAACCATTGCAATATACGATATAGAGATTTTTTCATTCCTATATCATTTCAATTTCATGTTCTTTATTCTTTCAGTTTTAGAATAAGGTATAAGACATAAAAACAAAAAACATTAATTTTCTCAATCAACGCATCACCATTAAGTCAGTCAAAAAAACTATGGATTTTGTGGATACTTGGGAAATTTCTTTTTGTATCATTGTAAATTAAGTTCTTAATATCTCTTATATATATCATCATCTCATCACAATTCATTACATAACCGAAATTACTCCAGAAGTCCTTCAACATATCACCCAGTCAAAAACCAACGGATTTTAATTTATTAATGAAAAGTTAAGTCTAACGCGAAAAAAAGTGAAATAACCTCACCATGGACATAGTTCCGAAACTTTCGAATTCAGTTCAGTTCATTCTGATTAAATATCAATTTTTCGCCTCTTTCGATCAGTTCTTGCTGCATTCCTTTTCAATTCTTCGTTTCGAATTTATTGATTACAGTTTTTCTCCAAAAATGTCCCCTTTATTTTTGAAATCATTCATTGTTTTAGAGTTTATGACTTCACTTGGCAGTGCGTTCCAGTCTCTTGCTGCTCGATCATTCATTGTTTTAGAGTTTATGACTTCACTTGGCAGTGCGTTCCAGTCTCTTGCTGCTCAAACATTCCTTTCGTCGCTTACGGACCATAGCGGTTGTACACAATCTTGAACATTTCAATCATTGTTACTCGTCTTTTACAGTACTCAAGGGACGGTAAATATAGTTTTCGCAATCGCTCGTTATAGCTTAAATCCTGTAATCCAATAACCATTCGCGTTGCCCGTCGTTGAACATTTTACTATCAAAGTTACATGTTTCTTTAATCGAACTCCAATTTAGTTTTTTTTCGTAAGAGTAGAGCCAGATGGTTGGGACTAATAATCATTATATCATTATGTTCATTTAACCATTGTTCTATAATTTCATTTTAATTTTTTTGACTGGACAACTTGACAACTTGTAAGGGATGGTGGCATGTCAAAGAGCCGAATACCCGGGTAGCCTAAAAACAAAATCTTTCCCGGATAACCGGAAAAAAATTTTGTTCCCGGATAGCCGAGAAAAAACATTGCATTATCAAAGTAGTCACACTTTTTGCTTTCGTACTCCATGAAACCGAGGCTATTTCTATAAATATTTTAAATGTTTATTCAGTCATTTTCGCATATTTTGTGCATCATCAGGGTTAAATTTTTATGAACAATAATTACAAAACGTTCAAAGATCTGAAAAATGCTCTAGATTTTTTTGACCAATCAAATTTAAACAACTGTAATACATAATTTCATAATCATTATTCACATTTTCCTGTAAATTTCCGAGATTTTTTGTTCTTTCATTGTTATAAAATGGTTTGCAAGGACTATAATTTTAGTGTTAATTCCCGGATCCTGGAATCATCTCGGTGTTAATTCTCGGCCTCCCCCTCTAAATTTGCAAAGCCTCTGAGGTCAGTATCTTCTGAGTGTTGGCTGTTTAGTCAATAATCTCTGACTTCAGCTCAGCAGTACCGCTTACCTTCTTAATACATACTAACGAGTGTTGCCCTGCTGGGGGGTCCCCTTTGCGGTGTTCATCGACCCTCGTGGCTATATGTCGGAATGTCTGGTGGATATAAGTGGAGTTACATCCACTACATGTAAGCTTATTTAGGATCTCAGTTCACGAGTAAATGAAATTTTGAGGGATAGCAAGCATGTTTTGATGTTTTTCGTTGTAAAAATTATTTGTGCCTAGGATATTTGCCGAACCTTTGCAGCTAACAGTTGCGATGGATTGCCTCGATATTGCAATGTGAAAAAGGGGCTGAACCTTTCAACCATTTATCAGTTCCTGGTTCTGATACCGCCAACTCTAACTTTTTTCCCTCAATGTTCCTGTTAAGAGTTTCAAACAATATTTTGTCAGACCAATTTTTCGTATGCTGATTTTCAATCCATTGTTTCCGATTTTTTCTCATTGTCCGTTCGAAATTTTCCCGTCTTGAGGTATTTCTGAAAAACCTATGGATCGTCCCTTCAATAAAATTTCTTTTGTTTTACAAAGGTGAGCAACATCTAAAATTTAGAATGGTGCCTGTATCAGTGGATTTTTGGTACCACCCACATGTGACCTTTTTTCCTGAGTCCACTTTGACAATCAAATCCAAAAAGGCCAAACTACCGTTACTATCAAGTTCTTCTATGATGAACTGCAAGTTTCGATGCAACTTATTGGCAGCCTCCAGGACTACCCCTGGATAGTACTTGACAGTTCTAACTATGTCGTCCATATATCTCAGAAAAATTTTAATACCATTCTCAGTCTCTCAGTCCGATCTGCTTCTTGTTGTGTTTTGCAAGTCATGTAATATAATACTGTTTCAGCGATGTCTGCGTATTCGTATTCCGACATGTTACCCCACCGTAAGTGGTACCAATTCAAACAAGCTTCGCATTCTACCACTTTAGTTCGATATGGTTTTCTGACATCCCGGGTAGACTTCATTGTTATTGTCACTCAGCACACTCAATTTAATTACTTCTTTCATTATTACAGGTTCGCATTCTTTGACCCACAAATTGTGTGACATTCGACCAGAATGGCCAAAATGCAATTTATGCAGGATTCGAATTTTGAGCAGTAAGCCTTCCGAGTTGATGATTTCGAAGGATTAGCGACGTTATTGGAACGTTTAGCCAAACGGTGAGGGCTAGAATATTCTAGTATTTTAAATTTTCAAAAATTCGATTGATGACGTCACATTTCTGAGAAATGCTGAAACGGCCATTTTAACAAAAAGCGAGTGAAAAACAGAACAACTTTTATCTGTGATTGCGAACAGAACGAAAATCGAGATTAAAGAAAAACGACAACGAACTACAGAATAGCAGAGAACGTTCCAGGTTGCAACTATTGTGCTGCTACAATAGTTGCAAGGCCGTTGCCAACAACGGTGAAGGGTGAGAACCAGCCTTCCGGATTGGTGTGAAATTGAACTTGAGGAGCTTGATTCACTGGATTCAAGAATCCGGAAGGGTCTCGGGACGGAAACTTTTATTAACTCACACTAAATTTTTAGCATCCTGTCATGTCCTGACTTGAATTTAACTGATATTTTGATTAGTTTTGACAAGGATGAGGTGCTAGGAGTTGGGGGAAAGGGTTGATCCATCTTCGATGGAGATGATGATTTTTATCTACTGAACAAAAACAATAGTAATATAATAAGTAGTAGCCCTGTTTTTAGGAGTGACCTCGTGGTCTGGGGATACTGAGACCCAGCCATGAGCTCACTATTTTGCATGTAATTCAGTTAATTTGAGCGTTCTGGTCGAAGCCGGAGAACAGTAACGTTTTTGTCGACCCGATGTAAGAAAGACCACCGAAAAGTACTGGCTTGGTAGAGACGGTGAAAAACATGCAAAGCTCTGTTTAGACGCTAGCCAGTCGTCTTAAGACTTAGTTTTGTTATCCGTCGATATGTATCTTCCGGGCGAATGTTACATGTATGTTTTTATGGCGCTCCTGGGTGTTATTCTTTTGTAACATCATGACCGGCGGAACCGTTAACGAGCACTCCGCGCCGAGCGGATGCTCACATTAACGCCCTTAATAGGCCTAAACTGCCGGGGCGGAAGGGTAGTTCGGAACGCGGAAGCCTTCCGGATTGCCGTGAATAGTTTTTTAACCTAGTTAAGACCGAAAAATCATGAACCAGGAAGGGTGGGGGGAATCGCGAACCCCTCGTCCCCTGAGTGGTTTGTGACCAAAAACATTTAAAGATATAAGTAAAACCAAACAAAAAGTAGTATAGTACCCAAGAAAAACAAAAAAACATAAAAAATTACCGAAAAAACCAAAAACAGTAAAAAAAGTAGAAAATCAGTAGAAATCATCCCCCCAGACAAGATGTGATTCAACCCCCCCGTTTGTTGTTGATAGATATATTGTTGTTACAGGCATTTATATCAGTCAGGATTGTTACGATCAATTTTGTGGCCCGTTTGAGAGGCTTGTACTGTAGGGTTATTTGAGCATTTAAGCACGTTAATGATAAATTGCGCTCAATCCGGAAGGGTCAGCTGATTTGCGCTCAATTCGGAAGGGTCTTGGGTGAAGACCGATCCGGCAAGCAGTTCAAGGAGCAACAAGAAGGGGCTCAGCGACAACAACAATCGACTGTTGGGTATCGTTAACAAGTTTTGTATCCCTTTTGGTACAAAAAGTAAGATAGTAATCTGTGGGGGGCTCGACAGTGCTGCACTGTAGTGACCCTTCACCGAACTGCGAATATCCGAGTTAAGCACCTTAATTCGGATAATAAACAAACCCGGAGGGGTATAGTATTGCTAATATTTTTATTCATATAGCCTATATTAATAGTCATATATCGTTTTTCAGTGAAAAACAACGAAAACAGACCGGTTTTTAGGGTCAAAATAGCGATATTTTGATCCCCCCACAAGTCGCGATTTTTGAGATATCGATGTTTTTTGAAACGGAAAAAAGCGCTAAGTTAGTGTGTTACATCGTAACTGCACTACTGTAATAAGTAGAACCGGTTAACTTTAGTTCGGAAGTGGTTGGAACTAGTTTGGTACCAAAAACCAAATTTTCCCAATTTTTGATAGTAAGAAACACTAAAAATTTAGAAAATTTTTTGAAATTTTTGAGGTAGGACAGTAAAAATAGTTGTTCGGACAACGTCCACTAGTGAATCTACAAGTCTTAAAATCCGCTACCCGAAAGCCTTCCGGGTTGTAGAGAAATCGAACATAACGTGTTTGATTTGGTGGATTCATCAATCCGGAGGGGTCCAGGTAGCATAGTTTTTCGCAAATTTTTTCTACA